TCCAATACGCCCCGTCTCAGGTACCCCCGTCTCAGGTACCCCCGTCTCAGGTCCCCCGTCTCCAATACGCCCCGTCTCAGGTACCCCCGTCTCAGGTACCCCTGTCTCAGGTACTCCCCATCTCAGGTATGCCCCGTCTCAGGTACTCCTGTCTCGGGTACTCCCATCTCGGGTACCCCCGCCCCCCCGGGACCGCCCAGGTCACCTGCTGGGGATAGTGCATCCCTGGCTGGGGTCAGGCAGCTCGAGGGTGTCCACCCAGGACCCTGCGGTCACTTCCAAAAGGGGGAGCAGAAATGACAAGACCACCTAAGTGAAGCTGGTGACGTCCCCAGCCACCTCGGCTTTCCAGAACCTTCCCACCTGCTGAGACTTCACCTCCGTCCAAAGGGACCGAGCTGTGGTTGGAACATGCAGTTTGCATCTGCCTAACTTCCCCTGGCACTTAGCCTTCCGGCCAGAGTTACAGGAAAGAGACAGGAAGAAACACTCAAATTTAAATGGAGGTGGGGGTGGGGGAGGGAGGAGCTCAGGGGTGGAGCATGTGCTCAGCATGCACGAGGTCCGGGGTTCAGTCCCCAGGACCTCCATTAAAAAAAAAGGCAGTTGATCATTTAAAGAAAAATAAAAATGTATTAAAAAAGAATTAGAAGTTGGCCTAGCACTTTCAAAGCTCATTGGTTCGTCAGGACTTCGGAGAAGTGTGCCTTAAGAAACAGCTACGTCTTTCGTGAGTTAGTAAGACGGGAGGTGACTAGGAACGTTCGAGATTCACTTGGCAAACGTGTTGTGTGCCCTGTCGGAGACCCTCCTGGACGCCGTGTCCCCAGGTGTTGGTGAGGCCTGAGTTCCGGGCGCAGACAGAGCCAGGCCCGCCAGCAGAGGTGCCTCTCCCCAGAGACCGCAGAGCCAGGCCCACAGCCTGGCCAAGTGGGGGGGCTGCCTTCAGGTCTTGGGGTTCATTTAAAAATCATGCAGTTTTACATTCTGCTCCACAGCATGGTTTTTAAAAACACATAACAATAAATTGTTTTCCCTTAAAAAAGAAAAAAGAAACAAGCTCACATGCAGCCCTCGGTCGGCTTGCCCAGTTGAACTCAAGCCTGTTCTGGGCGGTGGAGTGAACGTGTGGGGTGCAGGGCTGTTCCTCGTGTCTCGCCAGTTGACGTGGAGAGGACCTGCTCTCAGACCCAGACCTGCAGACCCAGCTGCACCGTGTGCTTCCTCGGGGGGATTGTGGCTCGTCCGTGTTTGTAGGTGGTCAGGCCGTGGTGCCTGGTCCTCCGGGGATGTAGGGTCCCACATGCACACACGGATACATGTGGATACACACAGACACAGATATATGGACATGGATAAACACAGATACACACGTGAACACATGGGTACACACAGAGAGACATGGACGCAGACACACGGATAGACACATGAATACACACACAGACAGATCCACACATGCACCCTTAGACACACACACACGAGTGGGAGGGGCAGCAAGCTCTGTTCGCCGATGTTCTCGAGAGTCAGACATGCAGTGAGCACAAGAATCTGTTGAGGGAGTGAGTCACCTGAAAGGTGTGCGGGGAGGAGAGCGGGCAATAGACATGGTGCAGGCCGGAGCCCCGGACGGGAGGTGACCCTGGCATGTCTGGACGGAAGACGTCCAAGTGCCGGCTGGCCGGACGCTGGAAAGATGCTTGTTCCCTAACGGGAGCGGGGTCTCTGGACCGTATTTCCATTTTGGG